CTTCAGGGAGGGGGATTAATTACATAGCCAAAAACCCGTAAAAACGATAAATAAAGAAAATCCTAATTAAACTATTACATATTGTGAGCAGTTACATTAATATTGTAAAATAATAAGCGCGCCCGATGAATCGAGTGGAAAGAAAAATTAGGGTTTTGACCCCACTATCCCTAATTGCAATTTAAAAGAAAAAAAATCATTTTTTTTGTTGTTTTTTGATTATTTTGATAAGAAATAGAGTTTAATTGAATAAATAAAGAAACCTAATTACTAATTAATTTAAGTTAAGAAAAATAATTAATTTAATCTATTTTTGTATTTTTTTTATTTTATGAAAAGAAATAAAAATTAAATCAATAACAAACCTAATTTTTCTAATTTGATTTTACTTATTTACAAAAAAAGTTAAAATTAAACCTAAATTAAAACTAATATAAAATTGATTTTGATAAAATAAAATAAAACCTAAATTCTAAATTGGTGAAATTTATTTTATGGTTTTTTTGTAAAAAAAAAGAAATTAATTTGTGATTAGAAAATAAATTAAACTAATTAAATTTAAAGAAATAAAATGAATAAAGAGAAAGAAAAATGGGCCTGGTTGTAGTGAGAAGGGGGGGTCTGAATTGCAATTTCTGAGCCCAATAGCGCCTATCCCATTTGACTTTTCCAGATCCCATGTACACGCTTGACTGATGTCCATGGTAGACCTTCATTGGGACTCCTTGGATCTAGCATGTGGATGATCTGATTGGTTGGACATTGAGGACGCATGGTGGACTTATGGGGCGCCTATGTACCTGATCATATGATGTAAAATAATATGGAATAATATGGAGACCTGGGAATCGAACCCAGGTCCTTTAGCATTCATCCATTGCGCGCTTGCCAGCTGAGCTAGTTGTATTAGTTGTCATAATAATAAACAACAAATATTATAAGATAGAACAATAAAACAAAATTTGAAGCGCACAAATTTTGAATTGGCCAGTCACCAATTGCCACGCCATCGTCTTCCTCCTGGCTTCTGTCGTCTTAGACAAGAACGTTTACCTACGGACACAGGGCGTAGGTACAACCCTCGTCCTCTCCAAAATCTTATCCCTGCATGATAAATCAATACCAGTGGTACCAATCAACTCGTTGCAACCTCACGAGCATCATGGTACCACTATCTATGGCTAATTGTTCCTGTGTGCAAAACCCCTAAAAACTAAACTAAAACCCTAAACATGGCAACTTGCTGTATATCCAATAAAAATACAATTGGATATTACCATTAGCTTGCAAACAGATCAAGGATTAAGAATATATAAATGAATCATGTTAAAGATGCCAGAATTGATGGATTCAAAATCAAGAAAATATGAAAACTGCGTGGTACTTATAGTATGTTTCAAGGCTTGAGGGAGCTTGTTAAGGGTTGCAATGTGATCCTTGGATGTCCAGCAAACGAATGGTGTGCCTGGAATGGCTTGAGGAAGCCTGGAACTAGGAAATCAAATTGCAACTTTTCCTTGAAATTTTGAGATTTGTTCTCTTCTTTTCACGCCTCCAATCCCCTTGTTTATGGTCTGAACACGTTCCTTATGTACCCAAGAATGAATTAGGGTTGCAATTTGGTTTCAAATCTTCTCCAATTATGATCATTGATTCAAGATTTGATCCTTTGTGCAAATCTTTCCAAATTGAGAAAATCCAATCTTTTTGTGTCCATTTGAAGCTTGCACGATTTGATTCCATCTCTAGTTGTATAATAGACCTAAACATGCACAAAATCTCAAGCTTTGATTAGTTTTTGATATTTTCATGATTTTATTTTGATTTTATTTGATTTAATTGAAATAAAATCAAAATAAATGATAAAAATAAAATAATGACAAATGGAAAGAATCATGGGTCGTGGGTCATGTTACAAACTCAATGCAAGCATAAAAAAATTGGGCCCATTTGACAAAAATTGCAATTTTGGCCACATTTGACTTTTGGCAATTTTGCAAAAAGGGTCAACTTTACCAATGCATAACTCCCTCAATTTGGACCCTAGAGAGGTGTTCTTGGACTTTTTAGAAAGCTTAAGATGTCCTCTAAGTAACCCTTTTGGTATCATCTCATTTGAGTCTTCCATGTTCATGTATGAAGCTTTGACAAAAAAGGTGTTTTTGTTGACTCTTCAAAATGAGCTTTGGATGGGTCATTTTTGATAAAGTATGAGAAAGTTATGCTTGGTCAAAGTTGAGTTGACTTTTCCTACAAAACCCTAATTTAGTAACTTTTAGGTTTTGATGAATTATGAGCAATCCTTGAGGAATCATGATCAACCCTTGATCAAATGATGAATAATACTTCAAAATGAGGATGTTGACCAAAAATATTGAAGTTTGACTGTATGTAGGACACAATTGACTTTTGCCCTAACATAGTCGATTTTCAAGCCTTTGAGCAATTGACTGAGCAAACTTCCTCTGAAAGGATTGAAACTTGACATGGATGATCTTGAGAACATATTAGGACAATGGTGAGCATTTGGGATCCTTTGGACTCAAACATCTTGATGCAAACTGAAACCCTAATTTGAGGTAGGTTGCTTTAGGAGAGAGTTTGTCTGGTCAACCCTTGGACTTCCTTGAGAAATTTGAGGACCTCATTTGAAATGTTTTGAGAAATATGGGAGGGAAAATTTTAGGGTATAACAGTGCTGATATGTTGCCCCGAAGTTCTTCAAACAAAAAGGCATAACTTTGTAACATAAAGTGCCCCACTGTGTGACAAAAGTAGTCTTCTCCATGTCTTCAGGTGCCATCTTGATTTGATTATAACCAGAAAAACCATCCATGAAGGAAAATAATTTATGCTGAGCGGTGTTGTCAACCAGAACATCAATATGAGGAAGCAAAAAAATCATCTTTAGGGCTTGCCCTATTCAGATCCCTATAGTCTATACACATACGCACCTTACCGTCCTTTTAGGTACTGGAACCACATATGCAACCCACTGAGGATATTATGTAAGGGCTAAGAAACCTGCAATGAACTGCTTCATAACCTCAGCTTTGATCTTTTCAGACATCTCGGGACGCATACGACGAACCTTCTGCTTTATAGGAGGACAATCTTCTTTCATTGGTAGACGGTGAACCATAATGTTAGTATCAAGCCCTGGCATGTCTTCATAAGATCAAGTAAAGATCTCAACATAGTCATGTAACATCTGGATTAATCTCCTCTTGACGCTTTCTAGGTCATCACCTATCTTGATTTCTTTCCTGTCCTCTTTGGTACCGAAGTTCACAACCTCGACTAGATCTTCACGTGGTTGTATGGCTCTTTCTTCTGTTCTAATAGTCTAGCAAGTTCTCCAGGAAATTCACAATCTTCCTCACCTTCATCCTCGGCTTGGTAGATCAAATTTTCAAAATCATAATCAACAATAGCAGAATTGTTATCAATGGGATCTAGAATGGAGGTGGATCTGCAATTTATTATACGGGTGTGTGTAAGAACACATAACTATTTTGAAAGCAGTAAAGTAAAAAAGAAAGACAAATAGCACAAAGTTTGAATGGAAACGTCCAATGATTTATTGAATGAAAATATGCGAATGAAACATGACAACCCTAACAAATGAACCATTGTGCCCCGTTTAAGGCACAAGGCTTAAAGTTTTTGTTCAAATTACATAACCAAAATTAGAAACCAAGAAAACAGAAAATAACATTTACTCCTGACTAAAGGAGATTAGTATAAAGTCTTCATCCTTCCAATTTTTGGGCCCATTGTCGATAGTAGGGAAGATCGAACTGTCTATGTCACATTCGCTATCAGCATCTTCCACAGTGCTGATTTGACTTTTGTGATCTCCATTGTTGTTGATGCGGAATGGCGGTCTTCCAGAATTAGCACGAGTACGACGAACAGCCCTATGAGCCTCTGAGGTGAAACCTAAACAAAATTTGTCGGACTTGTAAGGATTTTTGGGAAGTTGTCCCCAAATAGTGCAGCCACCTTCTTCTACCACAACCTTAGTGTCTTTCAGAGAAGTCATTCTTGGTGGAACCCTGGTAACCTTAGGAATAGTAGGAGCAACTTTAGCAACAGGAATTGTCTGAGGAATAACTTCAAAGGTCTGGCAAGGAGTCTCGAAGAATTCACCATCCATATTAACATACTTGAAGGAGTTCAAGTAGATCACCATGCATTCTTCTCCACCACAAATTGTAATGATTTTTCCTTTCACGGGATACATCAACTTTTGGTGTAAAGTAGAAGTAACAACATCTGCCCCATGAATCCAAGGGCGTCCAAGCAAACAGGAATAAGCTGGACAAATGTCCATCACATAGAAAGTAGAATTGAAGACCTGAGAACCCACTTTGATTGGAAGATCAACCCCTCCAAGCATCATTCTCTTTGAACCATCAAAGGCTCTCACCACAACATCACTGGGTTTCAGCACAACCCCTTCACAATGAAGTCTGTCTAGAGCAACTTTTGGTAATAATTTCAATGAGGAACCCGTGTCCACCAATGCATGAGATAAGGTAGTTCCCTACACTAAACAGAGACATGTAGGGCCTTATTATGGTTCCTTCCCACGGGAGTCAAATCAGCATCAGAAAAGCTTAGCCCATTATCAGTTGTCAGGCTAGCAACACAACTTTCGAACTGATCAACAGAGATTTCCTGCAGTACATAAGAAGATTTCAGAAACTTTACCAAAGCCTAAGCATGGGCTTCAGATAACAACAACAGAGATATCATAGATATGTTGGAGGGGTTCTTCCCCTACTGTTCAACAATGTTAAAGTCATGCATCCAGGTTCATTAGGTCATTCACAATAGCCTCTATCTTTCTTATCTTTTCAGGGTTCCGATTCTTGATTAAAATCTTCTTAGTTCCTTTACCACCAGACGGTTTAAAAAACTATGATATTATTCCTAACCTCTCCAGCTTCCTTGGCTTTGTTCAACCACAACTATAGCATATCAATAACCTCCTTTTAAGCCTCAATCTCTTGGACAAGTTTACTCCCACCAGCTTGATTTTGATTCATGTTGCGAGAATGATTTGTAATCTGAGAGTAGGATAAGGAAAAATGTCTCTTTTTATTCCTTGTAACACCAGCCCAGATATACCACACCTGATATAACCAAGGAAACTTCCTAATTTGGAGTACTAAAATGGTCTTAGGGGAGAGAAATGAGTTTTCTATTCTGACACAAATCCCCAACATTGATTGCTAGAAACTCTAAAAGATGCAAATACCAAGGACACACCTTAGTATTTAAAATTTATTTCCATGCAAATATTTAGTGACAATGTCCCATATTGATGTCATAACATCTTGTTCCACATTAAATTCCTTCAACATCTGACTCATCCTGATCAAGTCATTTACATTTCTTCCTGCAGAACTGTATTCAGCCTCGTTAAATGTCGAGATTACACATAATTGCTCCTTAATTGTACTAGATATCATGTTGTAGACAGGAGGAAGTAATTTATCCAAAGATCTCTTCCTATTATATACATTGTCATCAATGTAACTCATCATGATGTTTTTCATGCTTGTTACACATATTTCTTTCAACAGTTGTACCACTTCTTCAAATGTCAATACTTTTATTACCAACTTCCTTTGAAGACCTATTCTCTCATGACATAAGCATTTACTCTTCAGAATAGTTTCCTTGTAATTGTAGGAATCACTAGCTTGGTTAAGCATACTTTTCTAAATGATGGATATAATGTCCAAGAAATTTGCTTCAACATCTGTCTCTGGTTCAAATTCTTTATGTTCTTTATAACCAACTGAGGAAACTTGCACATCCTTCCATTGATTTGTGATATCAGTAACCACCATGTCATCTACTATGTCTTGGAAATCACAGAAGCGTTCTTTTGTTTGTTTCTCTTGACAATTAATAATATAGATAGCATCTCTAATCATGCTCAATTTAGAATTGAACTGCATTTGTTAAATAAGACTTTCTAACATCTTGATTGATATTCTGCATAGCACAATGTCTTCTATAAAATGAGAATTATCACATTCTCTCTGTATACCATGTGATAACTTTTCAATTTATTGACATTCATACTCACACAACTGATATCTTCGAGCCCCTGATCACTTTCTTTAACTGGCGCAACTTCTCTTGGAATCTTCCTTTCACTAGCTATCCACTTAGAATTCTTTATTTCCCACACATATTTGCATGGATAAGTATCTTCAGTAGCGTATTCCATAACTTGTTCAACCCCAACATGAACTCAATCATTCATAAGGATTGAGCCATAAACAACACTATCAATGTTGTCATTCGCCTTCACCACATGATCCATATCATGAGTATCCTTGGTTGATTTCTCCATGAATCTTTTCATTAAGTTGGCACAAGGAAGGTCTTCGGTTTCCATATTCAAGTACCTATTGAGAGATGTACTTGTTACATCCGTATCATTATGGGTGGTCATATCACTTATAGATTATATGTTCTTTGAAATCAATCTATACTTCTTTCCATTCGTAGTACAATGGATTTCATTCACGCCTTCATATAGAGTCTTCACATCTTCCAATGCATTATTATGGTTGTTAGTAACACCACCATTAGCTACAACAATAACAATCTCAGCATCTTCATGAACTTGATCTTCATTCTCTTTATGAACTTGAGACTCTTTCAACTTGTCGTATAGGATGTCTGCCACATCCATATCACCATCAAGATTTCTCAATTCTCCACCAGTATCTAGATTAAACTTAATACCATGTATATTGCACCTAGACTTCAATACCACAGTTTCAGCTTCACCAAACAACCAATCATGTGTTTGGTTAATCATACCTCCAGACTTATAACCACCATTCTTCTTCAGAACCAAAGTAAGTTATTCAAAGTTTTAAGGACCTCTAGCATGACCATCAAACTTCCTTACAATGAAACTGTTGTACCCCAAAATTATCCCTCTCATTTTCTCAAGACATTTCGCAAAAGATCTCCAATGCTTAAGGATTCTCAAGGAATTGATCAAACAAAATCACCTTCAAAACACTGAGACCACAAATTAAGGTTTTGACTGAAAACGACTGATCACTGACTTTTGACCTAATACATGACTTATTGGTTTGAAACGGGATCTCAAGAATTCAAATGCATCATTTTTACCTATTTGAGTATCTCAAGTCATTTCTCAAGATCAGTGGATTGATAGATGAAATTTGGTCAACTGATGAAAAAGTCAATTGTACACTGAAAAGTCAAACTCTGACTTTTTGGTCAACATTGAATTTTAAAGATCAAAATTCATCAAGACATTCAAGAATGTCAAGCTTGATCATCAAGAAGTCAAGAAATTCAAAAGTCAATTTGAAAAATCAAACTTTTCAAGACTTAGAAATTTTTCTAAGTGTTTTATACATGATAATTTCACTACTTCATGCCAATTTTTCACCAAGATGCATGATGATTCAAAGGAAACTTTAAACATGAAAGTTGTAGATATTTATGAATTCTACAACTTTGTATTAGAGGGTTGATGTCCAAAAAAACACTTAGATTTGAATATATAAGCCCATGAAGTCATGACATTTTCATCTAACACTAAGAGAAATTTCTAACAAATTTTGCTCAGGATTTTATCCCAACTACTTGGCACTTTTTCACATAGTCCCAAGATTATTTTATCAAAATGGCAAACGTGAAAGTTATAGAGGATGTTTCAAGCTTTCCAAAACATCCAAGAGCATGAATTTATCATACTTGAGCTAGGAGATTCAACGACCTAAAGTTGGACATCCATTCTTGATTGCAAGTCATTTTGTTGAAGAACAAATAATCTAATTTGCATGATGTGCTGCATAATCTTACTTTGCAGGCCTTGTGACTTGAAAATATATCCATAATCAGTTGTTTACACAATTGATTGAACCATTATCCAAGTGATTCAAGTATTGTCCATTGCATAATTCCATTTATAGCACAAAGGCACCATTGCCATTCACATAAAGCAAGCTTTATGCAATTGTCAACTCCTTGAGCCTCTCAATTGTTTTCTCTGCTCATACGTAATGCTAAAGTAAGAAGCAACATGCCTAAAAGTCTCTATCAACTTCAGACCATGCTTGTACCATGCATTGGAACACCAATTTTCACATGACTTGGTTGTTTCATCTCAACCAAACCAGAATTTTGACAATTTGTAGAACAAACTCTCTCATTCTCTTAAACATCCTCTATAAATAGAGAGGCCATTTTTAAGATAAAAGGGTAGAATTTTTGGTTGTGTAGACAAGTTCTCAAAATCCCCCCATACTCTCAAAAACCATAACTATCCACAAAACTTCCACTCTTGAGCTTTGAAGTGCAAATCTTTGAAACTCATACCTTACAAGTTTTCCCCAAACAAACCATCTAAATACCTCACATATATCATATAGAAGTTGCCTAAACATAATAATAACTTCTGTAACATCATTATCATCACCTTCCAAATTCAAAAACATTGTCTTGCAGGTTGACTTGGTTGGAGAAATTCGAGCACTTTCAGTATAAAGTAAGGATTGGAATAACTTCAAAAGGGTCCGAAGGAGATCAATTAATCATCAAATTGCAGCTGGAAACATCGATACACGTTTTGAGTTTTCACTTCAAGAGGTAAGTTTTCTCAAACTATGATATCCTTGTTCATACATCATTTTACTTTCGTTTCCAAAAGAATAAAACAAGGAAAATCAAAGTAGAAGAGTTGCAAACCCTCAAAATTGTAGAAAAATGCTTCTGGAAGTCTGAAACCGACGACCGTGTCACCTGACACAAGCCGTATCAGGAAGAAAACGGGAAAAATGGCAAGACAAGGCTCTGACACGGGTGCCCGTATCACAGAACACTGCCCGTGTCCCACTTACTGGAATTAAAACTTGACAAAATGGCAGGACATGGTCGTGACACGGGTCCCTGAGTCACAGGACACTGCCCGTGTCAGCTCAGCTGGGACTAAAAAAGACATGCATATTTATTACAGGGTCCTAACATGGTTGCCCGTGTCACAGGACGCGGCCCGTGTCAGCTTCAACACCAAAAATTCTTATTTTTTGAGACTCTTTTGCTATTATTTTCATTCTATTTGGTTTTAATAGTAATTATGTTTTAATTGCTTTCATTCCCCATTCATAAATTTGTATCCTCATCCCCTAAGAGATGTAATAGCGTAGGATATTTACTTTCCGCAATTTACCGCTTTCAAATATAAATGCTAGTAATTAGGGTTTGTATGGAAAGATAAAATCAATACTAGAAAACCCTAATCCAAGATAAATCAAGCATGAAATACAAAACACTTGCACCTCTAGGGTTAACTGCACTTTGTTGCCTTAAATAAATGGTCATGATATGCATGTGAGACACTTCAGCAAAAATAATAAAAAATACAAGATCATAGTCCCTCGATGATGCTTCGAATGTTGCCTTATAAATGATCTTAGACCCTTAAGGAAATGCTAAGGTATCTCACAACATTGCATTTTATGACTATACGGTGATCCACGCCCGTCCCTTTACATCCAAAGATAGGGCTTCTTACCAATCAATGGTAAGATATCAATGTCAAAGGAAGAGAGAAATGAATAAAAGACTTTTTGAGTAGGTAGAACGTTTTTAGTTTCTTGCTCACAACCCATCTTAAAAAAACAAAACATCTTTTCAAACATACCAAACACTTTCAAAACATGAAATATTTTCAAAAAGTCCAACACTTTGTATGCATTCTTATAGAGACGAGAATCATTACAAAGTTTTCCTAAACGAAGGCACTTTTCAAAAATACTTTCAAAAACCACCACAAACACATTTCAAACAAAGCAATTTCAAAAGTGATCTAGCAAGAAACTAAGAGCCCATAGATAACTATGGACGAAAAGGGTTCTAACACCTTACCTTTTCATAACCTACCCCCCGAACTCAAGAAAATATCTCAAAGGTCTTTCCTGTTCTTTTCACCCTTTCCTTTATTGGATAAAATAAAAGTCGATGGCGACTCTTGCTATCCGTAACAATTGCGATCAAACGCAAAACACCCAAGTCAGTTCTCCCACTGTATGACAGAACTGGCGACTCTGTTGGGGTGGCTTAAAAGTGGGTTTACCATAGAGACTAGATCATCTTTAAATGCTTTCATTATTTGATTTGCTTTCTTTATATTATGGGTCCTTATTTGGGTTTGTATTAATCCTTTACCCGAATCTGGGAACATCATTAGGTAAGTAGCAATAGATCGTAGAGACTGTGCGAGGTATACCGACATGGTTGAAGCGATGGCTACATTAGTGTGACACATTTGTTGGTACCGGTAACCCTTGAGTCCAATCAAGGAGAATACGGGCCTCCTGTGTGGTATCATGAAGCACTAACTGACCTTAGAACCTTTAATTGAACAACTTGGCCATTAGGAAGTAGTGAGATAGCCGGATTTGGTGAAGTCCAAAGTTAGTTGATACTCGATATTATGCTCATTGAGATCGGACTTTCAGGATATTTTGGTCGTTAATAGAGGCTTACGCTGAAACAATGCCTGATGAAGAAAGATCAGTGATATTGAGATTCCCTTGAACCCGGTTACTTTCTAGGACAGGTTGATCCAACTAAACTTCAAGAGGGTACTTACCAATGAAACCTCATACAAGCCTAAACCTAAGGACTTGTTTGCTTTGCTTGGGTATATACTTGTACATAACATCATGACATCATACCATGGCATTTTGCACTAACCATTTCAAGGACCTAGAGATTTATCTTTGTCTTGTTTTGTAGGACATTGCTTCCACTCGCAGGAAGACTATCCAAATTAACCTCATAAGAGTGCCTCCTCAACTCAAAGAGTTAGCGTCAAGGGTTCCTGATAATTCTCTGTTCATCAAAAGATATGGTCGACTTCTCAATCTGGTTACCTCGAGCCTTGATGAAGACATGATGAAGGTTCTCTTTTAGTTCTTTGACCCTTTACACCACTGCTTTACCTTTCTTGATTACCAACTTGTGCCTACTATGTAATAATTCTCTCAACTCTTGGGAATTCCTATTCTTGATCAATTATCCTTCAACAATATTGAAAGAGACCCAAGACCTGAGGAGATTTCTCGAGCTCTACAATGATCCGACATTGTGGCAAATTGGGAAACAAGAAGTGGTATCCAAAGGTTTCTAGCCAAGTTTTTGTTGGAGAAGGCTCAAGATTTTTGGGATACTCTT